CTCGAACGCTCATCATCAGCCAAGCTGGTACGACCACGTTTAAATTCAGCTGTCCATCTTTTTACAGTGGCAAATGATGGGGCAGAGTTCCCGTAAACAGCGTTCAACTCGATTTTAATTTGCGCAGGCATATTGCCTTTCAAATGTAAGAATTTAATCACGGTACGATATTCAATTTTTTCCATTTTTACACAAACGACATCGACTGACATAAACGACTGTCAAATAACAACTGAGCGTCCAAAATGGCTGAAATTTTCACAAAAGTCTTTCAAAGCATATACTATTGTAGTACTAGAATGGTTTTGACGAGTAACGTCATCTTTATGTTAAGACTCAAAACTTTTCAGACTCCCTCGTATTAAACATTTTTTAATTGACATGTTTGTAAGCGAAAAAAGTAAGCTGGGAGAGTATCTATTGTCTATAATGTCAAAACATAGACATGAAAGCGTATCTATTGTTCTTAAAACACATTTTAAATTTGTTTAATATATTTATTGCATTTTTTCAAACAGTGGAAACATGAATATTTATTGCATCCAAAATCTATGAATATTTTATTTCAAATTTCTCAACATTTTTTTAAAATCAGATCTTTTACAAGATTTATTTATATAAACGATAAACTTTTCCGAAAGTAAAAATCATAAATCTTTTAAAGACATTAATTTAGGATCAAAATGCGAGGAATATCTAAATGAAATAAGAAATGAAGAAAATATTGATGCAATTACAAATATTTGAAACAATTGTTTAGAATTTTTAATTACTGCTGCTGAAAAAATTCTTGAAAGATTATTGCAGACAGATTTGCAGACAGATTTTTATCTAAATTAAAAATATTTCAACCGCAAGCAGCTTTATTTGATGTTGACAGAAAAACATCATTCAAAGATATTTTTTTTATAATCAAAACCATTGGTAGTTTTGATGAAGATAATTTAAAAAAAGAATAGTCGACATTACATTTAAATTTTAATGAGAAAGAAACAGAAAAATTTTTTTACAGAAAAATTAAATTTGTCAAAATTAAATTTTGATGAAATGTGCAAGCAAATTTTGCAATGTCAGACCAATTTGGTTATAATATCCCAACTTAATATTGTTTTCGAATGCCATTAGATCTCTTCCAAATTCATGCTGATTCTGAAAGAATTTTTTCATTTTTAACAAATATAAAAACAAAGAAACGAAATTCATTTCCTTCAAGTACTATTAATGGTATTTGCTTAAATCAGCTTTGAGGACAAGAAGAGAATCTATCATGAACATGAAGATTAATGAAAAACATTTATGTTTTTTGCGTTTTGCGAGTGAGATAGAATATAGAGTGAGATAGAATACAGCGACATCGCACAAACGCTATGTCGCATTCGTAAAAACGGTTTCAAAAATTCTATCCTTTATAAGAAGAGATGTAACTTGGCTTCTTTCCGGAATGCTATTTGGCTAACTCGATACATAATGTATTAAAATAAATAATATTATATAAAATAAGTTAAGAAATAAAATAAGTTAAAACTCCTTAAAACTCCTGATACGATAAATAATAAAATCCGACAAATAATCAACACGTAACATTGATACATTTATGAATTTACAATAAAAAATTAAACCTGCGCGCGAAAAGGAATAACTTAGCTGGTAACTGTTTTGGCGTTTTTTCTTTATTTGTATTAAAATTTATAATTCTTTGCTACGAGGAATAGAAGAATTAATGTAAAGTTTGAACAAATTTTTGTCAAAATAATGTTCATCTTTATGAAAATAATATTAATATTCATTTTCTAATACTGCTGATTATACGTTAATTTATGAATGCATAGAATAGAAATATTAATAATGATAAATTAAAATAACTAAAAAATATAATAATAAACATTTGCAATGTAGACCATAAATGAAAAATCAAACTGAATAGAATAATCATTAAGGAGAAGAGTGACAGTTAAGAAATTATTATATGATATCACGTACAACATATAATATTTATTAAAATAAATTCATTTTCGTTTTATTAATTCTGCTCATACTATCAATTCTGCAATTCATTCATATATTGATATCGCTTTTTTCCTAATGGATATGCTATATGTATGCAAGTATAACGAGTGGTAATGCTCGAAATCGTACGGCGCAAGAGAGGCAAAAGAGAAGTATCTTCTTCTCACAGCGCTTCGAGTGAGAGAGAGTACGATAGTATCTCTATTCTCCTCGCGCAGCGCTTCAAGCATGAGAGAGTAGAATAGTATTCCTATTCTCTTCTACGTCCGAAGGTAGTTGAAACGTCGAGTGAGCACATGAGCACATGAGCGCGAATGTGGTTCGTGTTCTGTGTGCGTGTTTCGCGTTCTCCCCCACTACTGCTCCATCATCGATACTGCTATGATACAAGATGCCATTTCTAGCAGCTCTGGGCGAGAATAGTAGCCGCCGCTTACGCTTCCTATCCGTCTTACAGATCAGGCGGGCGAGCGTTTTCTCCCCGCGCGCTCTTATTTATACATTCTTTAATATTAAATAACACGAAAATTATTGCGAATATCGCCAAATGGTATAAAACATTTTGATTTATCTCGCTCTCTTCTATCTTCTCACGAACGACTTGGTCGCGAGTGCTTTGGGACACCCTGTATATATATAT